ACTGTAACACTAGAGTTTTGCTTTTCCTAAAGAAAATGAGGGACGAGCAGAAACTCATTTTTGTTGTAATCAACATCACTGAACCCAGTTTATTCCTTTAAAGGAGTAGTTCACTTTAAAAAAAAAGAAAAAAAAGATTGCTGATAATTTACTCACCCCCATGTCATCCAAGATGTCCATATCTTTCTTTCTTCAGTAGAAAAGAAATTAAGGTTTATGATGAAAACATTACAAGATTTTCTCCATATAATGGACTTCATTGGGAACCAAACAGTTCAAAATGTGAGTTTCAGTGCCGCTTCAAAGGGCTTTAAACGACACCAGATGATGAAAACGGGTCTTATCTAGAACCCTTCGAGTCATGACTCGAAAAAAGGTTCGTTTTGATGAACGAGTTTGAACAGGAGAGTCACGAACGCTCATCACAGAACAGACCAAGGTGAGCATTTGTGCTTATAAAACTTAAACTTTTTTATTTATTTTTTAAATGACTGTTTATTTCGCTAGATAAGACCCTTATTCATCATCTGGTGTCGTTTAAAGCCCTTTGAAGCTGCACTGAATCTCTCATTTGGACCTTGAACCGTTTGGTTCCCAAGTCCATTATATGGAAAAAATCCTGGAATGTTTTCATCAAAAACCTTAATTTCTTTTTGACTGAAGAAAGAAAGACGTGGACATCTTGGATGACATGAAAAAAAGTGAACTACTTTAAGCTTATGCCTAACCTCAAACCTAAGCTACAAACTTGACAGGTTGACATGAATGTTGTCCCAGGACCATTAAGGATGTCGATCGGGGAACATGTCCAACTTGGCAAAATCGCTGACCGTCTCTGTACAGGTTCATATGTGTGCTGCAGTTCTTCAAGGTATACCCAACAAATTTATTACAGTACCTAGTTTACAGTTTGTATAAAACGGTCCCTTTCTATTTGCTAAATAAAAGTGTATGTTGTTTTTGTAATCCTGTTTGCTTGTGTATCTTCACAATACGAGGTGTCACGGAATCTTTTATGAGGTATGTCACGGCCAATTCTTTATTTAAAGGTCAGCTCTTTGCAGAAAATCAATCCTTATTGATTACACCATCAATGACGCACTTTTGTCAGCTAGAAGTGTGTCCTCAATCGGGTAATTTACATAACATTTTTTTATTGAGAAGGAGAAGTTCAGCTCCTTTGATTGATTATGCGTTTTTTTGTTTTTAACCTTTATTATGATTCTGTGGCCAGAAGGTTTGCGCGATGACAGGTTTGAGGAGTAATGTGACATGTCACCGGGCCCCTGGAGTGAACTGGAGTTAAGGGTTTTTTATCCGAGGGCAAAACAGGATGGTCAGAGGGGAGACCAGAATATTAGTATCAGTAACTCAAGGGCAAGAATAAGCTCTGACTCCCCTGCCGACCCACCTGGAGATGAATCAATGACATAGTTCACCCCAAAAGAATGGAAAACTTTATTTAATCACCCAAACCCGAATGACCTGGTTTATATTTTTAGTTGAACTATCCCTTTAACGCTTTCTAGTCGTGCCTTTTATGAGCTGACTCTTATTATTGATTTAATACACATTTTAAATCAGGATGCCAGCAGAATTTGAACCTCGTAAAGTGTTATTTTACCTTGAAAGTTGTTGGTGAAAAGGTCTCAGCTTATAATAAAAATGCTGAATGCAGGAATTCAGCTTTTGTTCCGATATTGGTTGAAGGTCAAAATAATTGAGGAGAAGATATGAATAACTATTAAAAACACACAATCACAAACATTCCTATCCGGATGGGATTCGATTTCTCAGAGGGAACCGTGAGTTATCAAAAAGAACAGTTGGCACTTTGCAACATAATTTATATTGAGAAAACACAGATGTGTTCAATTCAGATGAGATTAAATCATAAAGTGAGTCAGGGAAATAAAAACAAACACAAATTTACCTGACCTCCTAAGGGAAAACTGGTCTTCTCTAAATAGGTCCATTTTAGAAACGAAATACTAACACTGATGTGATCTTGGGATATTTCAGCAAAAAAAATAATAATAAAAAAAAAAATCATATAATCATCCATAGACATTTTCCCTCCACACTAAGAATTCTTCTGAAGTCATTATTATCCTCTAATGGTATTTTTAAACCTGTCCTTTGCTTAACAGCCACACATATCATTGACTTTAAAGGGATAGTTCACTTAGAAATTAATTTTTGATATGTTTTAGCTGACCTCAAGGGCATCCAGGAGTGTCTTTGTTTCCGCTGTAGTTTCAATTTTGATATTTTTAGGTCAAACCGTTCTTGTCTGTCAGTCATATAATGCAGGTCTATGGTCACCACCTTAAAGAGCATGCACAGAGAAGTCCAAATTAAACATGATTTAATAACTCGTAAATGTAAGTACACATTGATGGCCTAAGACACGAAACGAGCGGTTTGTGTGAGAAAACGAACAGTATTTATATCGTTTTACCTCTTGTAACCACAGTCACGTCCAAGTGATCTTAGGGCACGGGCTCTTTGTGACTGTGGTTACAAGATGTAAAAACAGCATAAATACTGTTTGTTTTCTCACACAAACCGCTCGTTTTGTGTCTTAGGCCATCAATGTGTACTTACGAGTCATTAAATCATGTTTAATTTGGACTTCTCTGTGCATGCTCTTTAAGGTGGTGACCATAGACCTGCATTATAACTTACAGACAAGAACGGTTTGACCTAAAAATATCAAAATTAAAACTACTGCGGAAACAAAGACACCTACATCTTGGATGCCCTTGAGGTAAAATACCAAAAATGAATTTCAAAGTGAACTATCCTTTAAGAGCAGCAGCACATTCTGCTAAATGTCTTATCTTACTTTCCCAACACAAGAATGTGAAAGAATCAATGGAAGAATTTTCATTTTTGAGTTTCATTTTTTTTTTCATTTTCCTCCGGTATCCATTCAGCTGAAAATGCTCCTATAGAAAAGTGAATTCCTAACATGTCTACTACATTCATACCCCTTTTAGATGTTGTTTACGATTTGTGAAGTTATGAATACAGAATATACATTGTTTAGTCAGTTTATAGCATGAATAAATCTGTTTCCAGCTGCTTTTTTAGTGCTGGGGGAAATGTTTGAGTTTATTTATTTGCACATTTATTTACACAATTTATTGAATTAGCAGAAGCTTACCTTGGCCTTACAAATGAGAAAATTACGAGAACTAATTAATCCAATAGGGACAAAACAGTACAAGCAGTCCTTCCACTCCACATTAAGTAGAACAATAGAGCAGCAGTGTATGTGCAAGTATTTATTTATTTGTTCTTTTGTTAGTGCTCCAGAAAGACATTTAAATCAATGTGTGTGTGTGTGTGTAATGATGCAGAAAATTCAGCTTTGCATCACAGGAATAAATTATATTTTTAAAGTATATTTTAAATTGTTTCACAATATTACAGTTTTTTTTAATTTGATCAAATAAATGGAGGCTTGATGAGCATAAGAGACTTCTAGAATTAGAATGTTTCCAAACTTGACCGGTACTGTGTGTGTGTGTGTCTGTGTGTGTGTGTGTATATATATATATATATATATATATATATATACAATAAACCTGTAATATTGTGAAATATTATTACAATTTAAAATAATGGTTTCTATTTTAATATACTTTAAAATATAATTTATTCTTGTGATGCAAAGCTGAACTTTCACCATCATTACTCCAGTCTTTAGTGTCACATGATTCTTCGGAAATCACTCTAATATGAGGATTTTAGATCAGCGTATTGGGTGACAATCATGAAATATACATTTCTTTTAAACAAACTTAAAATAACTGCATACAAAAATAGCTCTGTGAGCTGTGCCACAGTTAATGTGTGTATATAAGGGACAGTGCAGACACAGATAATCGTTGAGATTCTACAGCGCAGTGATGTTACATCACAGCCATTTCATGCTCCTGTTCACCACAAAGTCGGTATGCAGTTGCCTTATATTTGTACACGATTTGTAATCAAAACATTTTTTCTTTTGTCAAATCAACTTAGATAATTTATAGTTCAGATAACATAATATTTTGAGTTTCTAGTGATTAAATTAATCTCCTTCATTGTATTAACTCAAATTTTCCATTTCAATGAACTTAAAATTTTAAGGCAACCGTTACTTATTTTTTTTAAGTTGAACCAACTATATTTTTTTTACAGTGCAGCTGTAATTAATTGCAGAAAATCCATCTAGTTTTGTAAAAGCAACCAGTAACCAAAGGATATACTGTATTTTTACATGTTTAATATACAGATTTTGGATTGATTAAGCTCATTTTACAAAATAAGTCAATGAGTGCATTTTTTTTATTCTCATGTAATTGCAATCTTAACATGATGTTTTAAATGCTAATTTGACACAGAGAACAATGCATTTCTCACAACAGCTGAATGAGTCAAAGCCAGTGCACACAGAGGTTGCCTTTAAGGCGTTTTTAGTTTGGCTCTTGTTTTCCTCCATAA